CCCGCACCGTCCCTACAATCTTTAGCGACAAAGGAGAATAATATTAACCAAACTCTAGGCTGAAACGTATACGACAAGCAACTTCGAAAATACCCAACGTTGCGAGGATGGGTCCGAAAATATTGGAAGTTATTTTCTTTTTTTCGACAAAGATAATATTCTCTTCAGTCATAAAAGCTCTACATATAATTAATATATAGCACGCCTCCAATCGAAACAACCTACGTATGTTCATGTGGCGTTCTTTTTGCTTATTTTATGACAACACAAACAATGGATGGTTTGCGCTATAGGGAAAATAAGATGGACTTCACAAAAGCAAACATCCTTTTCTATATCTGTTAAAAAATGCTATTAACTTGACGAATCGTCCAACCTGATTCATGAACATTAAACAAAGTGTTTGTGGAGAATATGCTGGTTCAGATAACACAGTTTGTCGCTGTAAAAGGAGTGAAGAGAGAGATATTGTCTTTGATTACCCACATTTTGGTTGTCCAAATTCCTTTAGTGAACGAGAAAACCGTTGCTGGTTATCCGGCACCAATTTTTGTGAGATCCCCCATACCTCTATTCGAAAACTGATTGGCAAGTTTGATTTTTTTCGGTCTGCCCAAAATATTATATCTGCTGTACTCCATTAGAAAAAAGGCTGTGCGGTGGGATACCCAATTTACTGAGAAACAAAGAAGAGAGATTGTGATTTGTGCCACAGAATTGCTCAATATGTTTGAACTCCATGGACCCAAGTGACTGACAGACATTTTCACAAGAGACGAAACATGTGTTTTATCCTTGTAAATTCCACCACAACAGCTGATTCGCATGTCCGTAGATGAGAAAGGAGACAGGCCTGTCTTTTTGCATCCATTATCTTAATTTAGAAAGAGGCTTTTATACCGCCTTATTGAAGTTATTCAATTACAGTGGTCCCCTTAGAGTTGATATTTTGGCACATAATACTACTATGACTTGTTACTGTATGGAAAAGTTGAAAAATGCTGCTGACGTGCGGATACCAAAGATTGGAACCTCTCACCTTCATTTACTCAGGACCAAGCAAAAACTATCAATATAGATCTGCGAAACGCACCGGAAGATAACTAGGCTACCCTTGTGCCCTCCAAAAGTGGATGTAGAGGCTGGAATTCTGCATACAAAGTCAAATAAAATATTTTGAGGGCCTTGAAAATTTCAGGTCCGTAACAGTAACAGTTTTAGAGACATTTCAAAACTTTCATTACTTTTAAGTCCACCCTCGTAGCAAAACAACACCACCAACAACAACAACAACAACAGAAACCCAACAACAACAAGAACAACCGCCCCCCCCCCAAAACCAAAACCCAACAAAAAAAAACCCCAACAAAACAAAAAAAACCAAAACAAAAGCAGCCAGACAAAAATGCAATTTACAATACCCGCATTGTCTTTTATAGTAAACCTTTATGTCCTTGGACATGAGTGGGCTTATCTAGCATCTGCGACTGTCGGGGCCGCGATTTTTGGCATTTTTATCTGGTTGTTTATTTGCTGCTCTAATTTTGATTTAATTATGTTACGAAACCTTTATTTTTCACGTATTTACATTCTGTGTGGCTACAAATGATATTCTGGATACTTGAAACAGAGCACAAGAAATTATGATGCTTTAGATAACATTACCTCTATCAACATTGCTATATACGTCGTCACAGAGAATTGAAAGCTTGAAAATTAATGGCAACTTTTATGGCAACTTTTGCCATATTTTCTGGCAACTTTTGGGAAATTCTGGATTTTTAAAATGGTAATAAATGCAGACGTTAGGCTTATTGTCACACAGTTTTAAGCTTGCCCGTCTTCCAGCAAACAAAATAGATCTTAAGATCTTTTTAAAGACAAGATCCTAATCCCCAACAACCAGAGGTAACCCTCCTTGGAACAAAACTCTTCTAAGAGCTCTTAATTAAAGGAAAAGTAGTTGCCCCGTTTTGAATACCAAATAAAACAGAAATGCCCCAGAATACCAAACTAGTACCAAAAATAAAGATTTTTCCCCCTCATTTTGAGAAGGAAATTATAGCTTCGGGTAATACAAATTTGGTCAAATTTTGTCTATGAAAAATACACTTGAACTCAAAGTCAGAGCGACCGCACTTATTACTACTAAAATGGTTTATTTAATGGTTTCCCTTTTGAAATAAACATATGAACTTGAAGTCAATTTTTAATGCGCGATAGTTTCCTTCAGCTGAAAAGTGGTTCCCAAAAAGGTACAGATAATAATTTGTTCTACCATTATACTTTAATTTATACTCCAAAAGAGATATTATAGTGGATGCTGATAAGGTATGAAAGAAAGCTAGGCTGAAGTTCGGGTCACAACAATTTGTTGTTGTTGTTGTCTGTGTCGTTATTGCACAGTGAAATTCATTTCGAAGGCGGGTCACTTAGTCTTCATTCAGTGAGCTAAGCAGAGAGGAAACGTTCAAGGAAAAACTAGCAGTACATGTCTATCTGAATCTTCCATTGTTAAAATCTTTTTGTTTTAAATGTCTTTCTTTCTGTCTTTCTTTCTTTCAATTCTTTCTACCTTTCTTTCTTTCTGGCTTTCTTCCTTCCTTTCTTTCTTTCTTTCTTTCTTTCTTTCTTTCTTTCTTTCTTTGTGTCTTTCTTTGTGTCTTTCTTTGTGTCTTTCTTTCTGTCTGTCTTTCTGTCTTTCTTTCTGTCTTTCTTTCTTTCTTTCTTTCTTTCTTTCTTAATTTCTTTATTGATGGGGGGGGGGGGGTATGGTTCAGACTCATTGGGACTCAGGCCCCTATCTTCTGTCACTTCAAGCCATGTCGTAAAACATAGCGCTTCGGCGGAGTGTGATTATATCGAACTGTTTCTGTCATAAAGTGTTTTTATTTCCTAAACACTTCGATTCATTGAGACTTAAACAGGAAGTAGGCGGGGAAAAAAAAAGGGGGGGGGGGCATTAGCTCATTTGGTATCAGTCCAGACTACGGAGCGGATGATTTTAAAATAGTTTTAAAAGCTCTCAATCTACATGTATTTGGCTTGGACCTCTCGGAGACAGGCGGTAAATTCAGAGGTCCCGTCTCTTACAGATACCAATAGTGTTGATAGGGGCGGTAAACCCATACACATACTAGATACAAACATATAATTTGGACAGAGTTGTTTACAAGAAAACCTACTCCCAAATGCATATCAAATACATATGTACAGGTACAACCAAAACACAACAGAACACAAAACAAACAAACAAACAAAACAACATGGAAAATTAATCAAACAAA